AATAATCTTTTACGTAAACAATAATTATAGTGAGAATGCATATTTGTAGGCAAAATTAGTTTATATTTTTATATGTCGGTAATTCTCTCTGCTCATTAGCTGGGGTGACATGCTCTCTGTCAGCGTATACATCCCCGTCTCTCTCAGGAACTTAGCTCTTAGTGCCTCATAGGCAGTGCGTTCGACGACCACGTGCTCTCAAAATGGAAAGTTGGATCCAAAATCAGCGCTGTCCTGTTTTGCGGAATGCGACAATAACCGCATATCTCGTAGAGCCTTCACTATCGATGCAATAGCCCTCGTCAAAGCAGGTGAATTTCCTTTCCCTAAGGAGCCTCAACTCGAACTTGACTCTATGGAGACGACGTGTTATGAGGAGGGAATTGTTGGAGCATTCCCCCACCACATGGTCTGGTGTTTCAGACAGATCTCTGGTGTTCGGCATATCAGTCAGCAACTACAGTCGAATAATCGAATGTAAATTGGAAAAGGGCATCTGGTACATTGGACAGTCTCTGATCAATGGACCAGCATTTACGACGGAGGGAGACATCCCTGACCTGTCCGCTGACACCTGGGAATCCACGCAGGAGTGCATAACTAATGTTTAGTTTCGGGACCTTCGACTATTCAGACCCAGAAAGACTTGCTTAACGTAGATGCATTTATTCGCTTTCGGGGTCTCTTTATAATGGCGAACACCAATGCCCTGCCACTTGCAGTTGGATCATTCCTCAAAGGAATTTTCTCGTTAAAGAAGAGCCTCCCATTGGCAGCGAATTAATGCCAATCCTCGGTATCTCCTGGGGGCATAATACATCGCCCTGGAGGTATCCACAAGGAGTCCAATAATGGCCTTTACGCTCCTGCGAATCATGGTGTCGATGCCGTCCAGTAGAGATGAACAGCTTTGTGAGGGGCGCGGTTTGGAGAGCGTTAGTAAAATCCGGGAATAGATATCGATAGGCAATGTTGAGTTCCTGCTTAGGTTTAAGTAAGCAAGAGGTTTCCAGCTTGTTAAGATTTTCATTCAATTTAGTCACAGAATCTTCGTTGAATTGTTGCTCTACTGAGAATCCTAGATACTTAATCGTATCTCCATTCTTCTATGTTTGGATGTACTCTACATTCTCAGGGGAGAGCATCTCAGTTTCTAGCTCTCCTTTATTTAGTACGATGCCCATGCTTTTTTGAGGATTTATAGTCAAACCAATTTCTTAAAATTTCCTCTGTCACTTTATTCTTGTCTGTAAGAAAGGGCCTTAGGCCCTAAGACAATAAAAGGAATAATCAATCAATTTGTACGCTGTCAATCACTCTTTCTGCAGCCTCCTTGTCTCGCGCCGACAAGGATTATCGCTCGCCTGGTTATCCGCGAAACCTATGTGGACCCCACAATCTTGGTCATTTGTTAATTTATATCCTATTTAAGTTATGGGAGTGGCCAGCATCTTCACTCAAGTCCTGAGTGTGTGTGACTTTAGCACTCTTACTCAGTCTCCACTGGCTTTAAACAGTGATGCGGCTGAGAGAGAAGCGCTGGGATCTCTCTGAGCCCTGCCTTGCCTTTCATATGAGAGCGGCAAGGCATTGTTCAGATTTCTCTAGGGTGAACGTAAATATTGTACATAGGAATGTATGTGTGACCAGTATTTTTTTTATTTCATGCTTTGCTATTCTTTCGATGTACTTTTTTTCTTTTTTACAATTTTTTATTTTAATGTATATATTTTTACTTACTTTTTTTCTTTTTATTTTATTTTGTCTCAATTTATATTTTAAAATTTATGAATGTAAACATAGAGCCATCATGCTCAATGCCCTAGATTGTGGCAGATTGTATTATTTTACTTCAATAAAAATATAAAATAAATAATTTATATCCAAATTTCTTGAGAAAGTCTTCATCGCGCAGGTCGCGGTAAAGATTGTCGATGACCAGGTTGTAGAGCGAAGACGACAGGAAGCCGCGGTGTACCGCCTTGGGGTACACCGCTCAGCACTTTGATCTGGCTAGTTGCATAGACACCATTACTAATCTTTATAGTGTTCGTTCAAAGGAGAGCTAATATAACATTTTTAAGATTCGGTGACCCAACTCTTGCTTCTAAGGAGCTCACGATATGTTTGCGACGAACATTGTCAAAGACACCGAAATCGTCAAGGAAAACTATCGCACCATCATTTTTCATTCTCTGTGCATCTTTTAATATTTTGTCGATAATTCTTGCGTTGGTCTGCGATCCCGGGGGACCTTTTATAAAGCCTCTCTGATTCCTGTGGAAGGTTATCTGCTTTCTTAATTCGTGGTCCATAACCTTCTCTATGACTCGGCTCACAATCACTTTTGCCCTTATTTATTTATATTGTGCGCCCCTGCCGAAGTGGTTCTGGGACATAAGCCACCTTCAGCATTATCTCTGCAATCGTTTTGATAATATTTGATACATCAAAATATTTAATCGTGCGGATCAGAACTCCATCAGGCCCCGGCGGTGCGTCCATTGATGTTGATTTAGTGACTTTCTTGGTAGCTTCTAGCTCAATGGACACCAAATTTGTCATCGGAGTACACTGTTCTAATCCACATGCCTGCAGAGATTTTCACTTTCAAAGAGGTCTTTATAATGCTTCTCGATTTCGGCCATATTTAGAGGACAACGCTTAGGAGCGTTGGCATTCATAATAGTTTGCACAACCTTTTTCCTTTTGTTGTAATAATTATATTGTGCAACCTCATACTGGTATTGTTCTTGCCAACGACCCCTGTCTACTTTGTTTGCTCTCTGCGGATTTGAAACTTGTCCAGTACCCTTCAGCCATTTTCATTTTTTGTTCCTCATCCTATAAAATTTGACGGTTGGGTGCTGGGAACCTGGCAGTTCAGCATTGATAACTTTGAAAAACGTTAGGAACTTGCTTACAGCCTCATAAAAATCTGCAGTATTAACCATATTTTGTTTTGATAGGTTCTTGAACGTAGTAAACCATCCAGCTATGTCCTCTTTTGTTTTTGATATCTCATCCTCTCCATTTCTAGGACTTATCACATTCTTCACTATGCCCTTCAGTGTAGTGTTGTTCGTCTACCTGTGATGCTTTTTTGCAAAATGGGTTGCGAGACCTCGTTTGTTCTTAAAGAAAGCCCACATATGGGACATACTTTATCATCAGGGCTAGAACTTCATCTTACAGATCACTATGTGCCTCTGCGGACCATTTGGCAATCTGGGAAAGACATTATCAATCGAAACCGTCTTTCCCAATACCACACCTTCTGTGTCGGGCCATTCTACTTTAACAAATTTATTTTCCCCTCCTCGTAGCCACAGACACCACAGAGGCAACAACCGCCTCTTGAAAAGGTCCTTCAGTTATCAGAACCCATACCTTTTGGCCAACTTCGATCTTTTTCATTGGTCTTTTGTTCATTTCAATATTATTTCTTCATTCGAGACTATGCCCATCACGCGCATGATTGAAACAATCTATTAAAGGAGTGTTAAATAAATAATTAAATAAATAAGTGAAAATTTAAAATCTATAAAAAATCTATAATCCTGGCGATAGACCCCACAAAAACTTTTAATAAAATAACAATTACGAATCAACAAGATATGAGCGTTATAAAAATTCAAATTATCAACAACCCTCACATCAGTATAAAAACAACAATTATTACCGTTCCTCACAAAATTATAACCATCATGAAAATCGCGGCTATCGCCATCCTTAAAATCAATACCAGCGTGAAAATCAGTACAGAAACGATGATAGGGCGCCCCGCCAACAATATAGACTACAAGCGTGGGGTCAAAAAGTAACTGGCGATCAGTCACCCCGTAGGTAGAAATATCACAGCAACCAACTTTCAACCGCTGGCCACATTCTTAACCAATGCTTCGCTAGGAAGCTCGAAACTCCTGCTAGGAGGAGTTAGACACCATTGGGTCAAACTATCAACTGCCTAATATTGTACTGCAGCATCAGCAATTTCTCCCCATCACTATATATAGATCTTAGTAGTAAGCCTAGGTAGCAGTAGTGCATGACTCAGTAGTGTTGTAGCTCTTATTATGTAACATTGTGTTTGTTTTCATACCAATAAAGTTTTTTTTAGTTGTTCGTGTATCCGAGTTTATAATTGATGTTATTGCAAGAAACATCCAAATCCTGTAAAGGGGCGAAATTTTCGGCTTATCATCATATATTTTGTTTCATTCACTTGTAGGCAGATTTGCTCGACTTCTCTTATCAGAATCTTAGCGAGTTTAGCGAGATTCCAAGAACAGTTATATCCAAAGATTTTATGATTCATTCCGACGTGTACCCCTTCATTTTCATGTGATGTTCTTATCACCTTTTTCAGTGCAAAGTTGAACAACATCAATGAGAGTCCATCTTTCTGCCGAAAGTCAGTTCGAACTTTGAAGGATATATATATCGTATTTTGAGAATCTTACAGTTCAGTCATGATTTTCCAAAAGCATATCCACGGAGTCATAGGCTGCTTTAATATCGGCAAATAAGGCGTGGACATCCCGAAATAGTTCAAATATGGAAAACTTCAAATAGTGTAAACTATTTACTGAAACCTATGTTTCGAACCACTATTCAAATCTTCAACAAGGTTTGGTCACTGGGCTGCTGTGAAGGACTGAACCTAATAACGTCCAATAAAGAATTATTTTAAATATATCTTCTAAAGAGTCTAGGTTTTTTATAGAGTATTAAATAAATAAAACATTACGTGTGTTGTAATTAATTTATTAGAAACAATATAATTCATTATTGAAAAGATATATTTGATCAACTTAAACTTTGTAATCTTTACGTCAACGAGGTCCAGAGAAAGATGTTATACTTATATGTAATTACTTGTCACAATGTGGATGACAGTGTGAAGCTCTTAGTATTTTGAAATTTGAAGTGGATGTTTATTTGGTTATAAGTTTTTTTCCTTATATCTATCATAATCTGTATCAAAAGAGGTTTTCACTATGTTTACCCCTCTTGTAAAGCGTTTCAAGAGTCTTGTAACTCGCTCAGATATGTCAATTAGAGAAAGAATGAAAAACTGTGATATGGTTAAATATGCATCCCAAAATAATAATGTAGAGTTGTGTACTCCAGAAGAATTAAAACTAACTGTATATGGTTAGTTGTAGAAATATGTTGCTAGATTAGATTTAAATTATAGTTTTAATGTATTGATGATTATTTTTAAAATTCCAATAAAGCATAATTTGCCATTTTTTTTTTCATTGATATAATTATCTACATTTCTAGACATTTTTACCTCTAGTGTCTATAGTCGTGTAATCAGAAATTTGCACATTAAGTATTAACTGATATGTGTAGAATACAGTTTGCATTGTGGTCGGCAAAGGTTTGATAAGAATTAGTATGGAATTTAAAGTTTTTATCATTTAATTGAACTTTGTTTCAGTAATTGAATTTTTCAGGTTTATGAGATATTTTGCTGTAAATCAATATTGTTTAGTTCTATCTATTTTATACTACCTCACTTATAATTGTTTTGTTTTTTAATATCTCTTTGTTTATGATATTTCAATTTATAATCATCAAAAATAATAGATTGGTTCTGTTTTTATTTTACCTAAAGACATGATTACCCCATTTAAAAAATGGTCATTTGGTATTAAACTTGCACTATCTCCTGCAAGTATATTGAATATTTTTATGTGTTGAGTTTTAATTTGGTAATATTTATGTATACATACATGCCTTACAAGATAAATATATGTTTGTAAATATTTTTTAGTTATTATATGAGGTTATGGAAAAAACAATATTCGTTTTGAATGTGTGCTATGTTAATTACAACTTTTTGCTGTGTGAATTTCCCCTCGGGCTGTCAAGTAATGGTGGTCAAGCTATAATTTACAAGTGTCACGTCTGGTTAACAGGTGGACCAAGATCATATTGATCACACTGTACATAGAATTCTGAAAGTACATAAGTCCATTAGTAGATGAAGGTGACGAATCACTAAAAGACCCCGTCATAGGATATCAGCTAAAAATGATCCGTTAGTGGAGTGAGCGCAGCAAGCATGCCTGTGAGTTGCCAACACTTTTTTTTTTCAATTTCATTTGTAGTATGAGCACTATAATCTTGACCCATCTGTCAACCAGATGTGACACTTGTAAACCAGTTCTGAAAATAGAATACAATACAAACTGTTCTATAAAATTAACATTAAAAAAATATATTAATGATACCATATAAGGATGTACAACAACATATTTCCTGGTTTGTCCCTCTGTATTAAGTTAATTTGTTTAAAAAAACTGAGCCGAGCATCATACAATATAAGTATGCATTGCAAACTGAAAGTTAGAAAGCTGAAAGTAATTTTCGATCATAAACCTCCAACTTCCTTGAAGTTGATTAAATTCACACCTTAGCGCAATTCAAATAATTCTTACCTTAAACTATAAAAGAATGATCTGCTATTGCTTTTAAAGTCAGGGAGTCATTCTGAACTACTATGCAAATGTTCTCAATGGCATTTCATCTTTTAAAAAAGCTAAGGATAGTGTGCTGTACCTCATTGAAAATAAGGTTGATGAACCTATCACAAAAACTGAACAAACTGTCAGAAGCATACTTATAGGAGGGTAATTGGTAGACTGAATAAGGAAAAAAGGCTGCTAATGCTTTTGAAGTCAGGGAGTCATTTCAAACTGCTACGTTACTTTTCTTAAAGGTATTCCATCTTGTTAAAAAGCTAATGGTTGTATGCCTTACCTCATTAAAAATGAAGATGATGAACCTATTCTGGAAAAACTGAACAGCCTGTCAAAAAGTATACTTGTAGGAGAGTAATCGGTAGACTTCATAAGGGAAAAGCTTAATTTGAAAAACTGAGGGAATAGTGTCAAGAAAACAATTGGGGATAAATAATTCAGTAATAATACTGCAATAACTGTCTTGTTTTTCCCCTTCAAAATAATGAAATACTGAAACTAAATCTTTTTTTAGTTAGTAAAAGACAAAAATAGAAACCAAAAAGTTCTATACTTGTGTAGTACTTTAACTTATTTTTAACCTGATTAGATCATAATCTGGGTGATTAAATGTATACCTGTGGTATACAATATTTACAGGTCTTTTAATTGACAAGTTCATAAATATAAAAAGTCTGGTATTGTTAACCATTTCAGCAAATTAGGTAGGTTAAATAAGAATTAGCCTAAAAATGTTATTGTTAAACAATAGATCATTATCTAATGCACTGATTTATCATCATTTTGAGTATCTATTGGTCTTTGTCATAGTTTCACCTTTGTTCCAAATCTTAATTTTGCCTTTCCGATTTTTTATAAGCATGCACATACACATTATATTTATTCAATTTTATTTTATTTATTTTTTCCATTTTCCACATTACAGTAATCCTGCAATGGTTGCATTTATTTGTACATGTACTGTCTTATAAAATAATACGTGATAAAGTTTATAATGACAAGTAGGATTGAAGTAACATAATAAAATCTTAAAAGTTTAAGTCAGGTGTCTCCAAACCTTTTGGCTTGCGGTTTGCAGCTTAGCCCTTGACTAAGCTCCGCAGGCTATATTGCAACCTCCACTTAAGTCCCTCAGGCCATGGCTTGTAATGAAAAAAAAAAAATCTTGTTCTTCCTAAGAGAAAAAAAAAACCATGGAATCAATGCTCTAGTAACCTTGTAAGTAATTTGCTAGATTTCATATTTTCAAATAATTTTTAAAATGCGATCAAAGAAACTTTAGCTGGCAGGATTGGAGGTGCTTGCTTTTTGGAGTTTTTAAGTTTGGAAACTCGTGGGTTAAGTTAAGAAAAAAAGTCTGGAGCACTGTATCACACAATTTTCACTTACTGGCCTACTTTCAGTAAAAATAATTTTTTTAAAAAGTTAATGAACGTTAAGAGTATTACTTTAATTATAAATGCAAACTTAAGAAAATTAATATTAATTAAGACAGTTCTTTGTAATGTTGTATATATTTTTGATTTATCAAGCTAATAACAAAAAAAAAATTATTTTTTTATGTATTTTATTCGAAAATTCCACTTAGTTTCTATGGATAAATTTAGTACCTTTTCAATGATATAAAAGATGAAAAATGAAATAAAATAGTTTGTTAATACATGGAGGGTAACTAATAAGATTTGGAAAACAGAAATTAAGGTATTGATTTATTTTCAATAGCGAAATAAGTGATTTTATTTTTAAAAAATAACTAAAATATTTTATAAGAAGTTAGTCAACCAATAATTAACAAATTAGGACTCGTTTTTTTAACTCTAAAATGCATCTCTCTGTTATATAAAAACGTCTTTAGTGTCATATTTTATTTTAGTATTAGGAGATTAAGAGGTCACAAAAGGTCTTCTATTAGCTCTAGCAAAATTAGCACTAGTTTCACAGCTGTTCATTTAATAACATATGGGTTGAGCTCCTGTTACTTAATACTTTCATGATACAAAATAAAGGTTTTAGGCTAACAATTTGTACGGTAAATGGTATTTATTCATCTCAAAGTGGTAGTTTGATTTTACCTAGGCTACAGCCAGCAGTGCCCAGAAAGGAGTTTCATGGCACAAGTTGTGCCATCAAAATTTTTGAGGGGCCACATTTTGACGGGGTTTTAAATTTTTGAGTGGGGGCACATTTTATAAAAATTAAGTTTTTGACTTATTAACTTATGATAGTCCTCTATCAGGATTATGAATTTTTGGAATGAAAAGTTTCAAATCAGAGGACAAGAGGAAAGCAAATAACAGAACACTGTCAGTGTAGTGGTGTATGGACTATAATTTTTTTAATTCTACTTTATGTTGCACTATTTTTAAGAAGAGAGCAATAAAATATCTTGGAAGGAAGGAGGGAAGGTTTGTGAGGGGGTATGGGCTACCCTTGGCTTCAGCAGTTATTTTTCGATCTAAAAATTTCCCCTCCAATACAATATATTAATTGTTATATTATATATAATATTATTTAGATTGTATTGTGATATAATTATAATTATCATGAAATAGAAAAGGAAGCACAATATAATGAACAATGAATATATTGGAAATAAAAGGCTCAAATTATTGTTGGGCTTATATGAAGCTGGACAAGTTAAATATATATATTATGGTTAAAAATTGAAAATCATTATATAATAATATAAATTGGCTATTAGGCGCAATGTATAATATAGATTTTTAAAGAAATTAAAAATTTGTCCGAACTGGTTTCCTTCAGTTTATTTATGTTGATAAAAAATAATAAAATCTGAAATACAGAATATATGTAAATTAAAGTTATACAATTTGAGAAATGATTAGTACGATTAAATGAACATTTGTATAATTTGTAAAATGGGGTTGGTCCGCTGTTAGGCGGACAGGGAGTATTCCCCTAGTAAACAATAAAAAAACTTTTATTTGGTTATATCATACATATTTGTAAGGTTTCGCCTTTTTTGGCAATTTTAAAGATTTGTTTATAATTATCATTACCACCAGATAATAGGTGAAAATTATAAAATAAGTTATATTGAATAACTTTGTGTGTAGCAAGGTGTTTTAGTTTAGCCTCCTTTGTCTTTTATTCTCTCATAGGCATTGCCTGTTTTATTTTTTACAGATATAATACGCTCAATAAAGGATCCTGAAAAACCATTTACTTTAGAAGATTTAAATGTTGTATATGAAGATGGTGTTGAGGTATGAAAAGTTTATTTTTATTCCATTTTTTCAGAATTATACCGCTTTAAGTAATGCTTTTTTGTTTGCCATTATAATTAATATTTTTTTACAATAAAAAGAAATGAAGAAAGTACTACTTACTAAGGAAAGTGATAGTCTGTGGTTTTTCACCAATTTCAACCAATTTTTTTTGTTTTCTTTTATGAATCTACATCCAAAACATTCGTTAGTTTTTGCTATAAGCATGAAACGTTTGTTTCAATGGGATGGGAATCGAGAAAAAATGATTTTATATAATTTTGAACAAACTTTGTTAATTTTTTTTTTGTCTTTTCTTTGTATCAATTTCTAGATCATTATATAACTATCAATTTTTTTTTTTTGTTTATGAAATAAAAAATTATGTCTATAGTATCAAATGAGGTTAAATCTTCCATGTTACTGTTTTGGGTATTTATTTTTTATTTTTTGATAGCTATACAAATTTGTATTTAAGGATTTTTTGAGGTATGAAAAAAGAATATGTTTTCTCTCTAAAAAAAAATTTACTCCCTTATTGTTTTGGTAGGTCCTATACTATAGCCATCTAAGCTATGTATACCTTTAGGCTTTTCTCCTCTGAGAGTTTTGATCTTTCTCCAGAACATTTTTATATTGTCTTTTCAATCCGTGTTTAGTGTCTCTCTAAAGTCTACCCATGACCTGTCTTCTTAGCCTCTTTAACTGCAATTTTTTCTCTATTCCGGGCCATTTTGTATAGCTGATAATGGTCACGGTTTCTACTCATGCAGAATTTTTTCCAGGTTGTCTTTTTCTTTTTTATAATTGCTCGAAGTTCCTCTGACCACCAGTCGGAGCGCTTTCTTGGAGAATGCCGATTCTAATACAGATGTTTTGAGATCAAGCCATAGATCATCTATTTCCTTTTCAAAATCTAATTCCTGCAATCTAATCTTGATCTCATCTTCATAGAGTGTCCTTATAGGAGGATCATTAAACTGTTAGCTATATACGTTCATAGGTTTTACATCGAACCTTTCTCTCTAACAATATTCTGGTATCGACAATCAAGAGCATGTGATCACTATCAATTTATGCTCCACCGATCACCTTTACATCCGAAAAATATCTTCTTAATTCCTTGGTGGATAGAAAATAAATTATTATACTATTCACTTCCCTTCCAGTTGCTGAAAAGGTGATCTTATAGACTGGTTTAGGAGGATAAACCGAGTTATCAATGATGAGGCCATTATCTACTCAGAATTCTATCAACCTTTTCTTATTATTGTTTTGGATTTTTCACCTCCATGCAGACCCATATATTCAAAAGCTCATTGATGGGGTCTACCTGTCCTTGCGTTGAGGTCTCCCATTATAATAATATTTCGGTTGTTATTCTTGTCAGTTCTTCCCAAAACACTGTAAAACTGTTTGATCTTGAATAAACTTGAATCTTCAGTTGGTGCATAAACCTGGATATGGGTAACATTCTCACCTGTGAGGCAGATATTAAGTGTGATCAATCTGGAGTTAATCAGCTCCCACTCATAAGACCCTCCTTCAAAATCAAACCAACTCCATCCCTTGATCTTATCCCTTGGGGTATCCCTCAGTAAAGCAGTGTACATCCTTTGTCATGCTTGAGTTTTCCACTACATTTTTCCCTGAGTTCTCCTATCTTCAGGATATCCACTTAGTATGTCCTCATTACCATTAAGAGATCATATCTTCCACATACTGAATCGTATGTCCTTTAACTTGTCAGGTCGTTTACTGACCACAAGTACTTTTGAAAATGAAAATATTGAGCAAAGAATTTTTATCTGTTGATATCGCTATAAAAATTCGTATTTAAGGGTTTTTTGTGATGCCAAAAATATGTATCAGCTTTGTTTCTTCCTGAAAATTCATTTAATGTGATTTAGAGCTACATCTACTCTACTGTACATATACCCGACAGGTTAGGAAAACAACATATGAGGCAGATAGCTATAATACGAGTATTATATTGAAATAAATTGGACCTATTTACTTACAACGGGAGGCTATAGATGTGGGGTCCCCAATTTCAAGGAAACTTTAAAATTGTTAAAAAATATTAGACTCATATCTGTGTTCTTGCCAATGTTCTCTAGGAATCCAGGAAAAACATATTTTATCCCATTTAACATTTTTTTTTTTTTATGTTATTGTTTCTTGCCTTTGCTCTGCATACGTTTCTAGGTTTTAATTTATCAATCAATTTTATTGCTTTCTCCTTAAAAACAGTGCAAGCAAAATTAGAATTTATAAAATCATAGATTATATACAATTACACATGCTACAAATACTTGTCTTTTGGTTTGAAACTTTTCATTTCGAAAAGTATTAATCCCATCAAAATGTGTCCCCCTCAAACATTTAAAGCCCCATCAAAATATGCCCCCTTCAAAAATTTTGAGGGTACAACTAGCACGATGAAACACCTTTCTAGGCACCCCTGAGAGTAAATGACTTAGGATAATGTAAAACTGTGGTTAAACTTAAGCATGAACCCTGAAAACAAACATCCACAGCATCCTCCCAATAGGGAAGTTTATTAATAAACCCCGAGCTTTAATAATTACTCATACAGCTCAGTCAAGAAACTGGAGTTGCAGCTGAATTCCTTGGACAATCAATAAAATTACAATGAACTAAACTTTAATTATTGCTAAAGGAATATTTAAAAAGTAAACATTAATTATTGCTAAGTAAACATTAATGAAACTGCAGCTAATTAAATATTAAGTATTGATAAAAGAAATATAAAAGAAAAAAGGGCAGTCAGTTCATAATGTTCGAAGTTACCCCACTACAATCAACTTGCTTGTCTTCTACCCACTAAGCATGTGCTCACTCACTTTAAGGTTCCAACTACTCTTAGATCAGGCTGTCAGGAAGAGCTGTTTGACTCATTTGAGCAAAACACGATGCTCTTTCAGGTTGCATGCTCAAGTGAATTTGCAGCCTAATTATATCTTTACCTAAGCTAGCCAGTAATGTATATTTTAATTATTAAAATAGAGAAAAATAACATATTTTTTTAAGATATTCTTTAAAAAAAGGTTGGTTTGCATTTTCTGTTCACTTTTATTTTTAGTTGTATTACTCATTAAACTGGTTTAAAAAATATATTTTCTGGTTTGTTTTAGGTTTCTAGAGGTTTGAATGGAGATCAATCTGTATATCTCATAACAGTTGAGTTTAAACCTACAGTTTCTCACTGTAATCTAGCTACCTTGATTGGACTTTGTATTAAAGTGAAATTGAAACAACACCTTCTTATCAGACACAAGTTAACAATCCATGTAAAAGAAGGATCACATATCACAGGAGATGCCGGTAAGAAATAATCAATTCTTCATTAATCTGTTTGACACAGTGGCCATAGTGCCGAACGTCCATTGTATCCTATATAATAGACGAGAAACTTTCGACTTTGGGTGTTATTGCCTTTTAACATTAACTATATTTTTGTTATCATCGGTCACACATAAATCCTATATTTACATAATATAATGATATAGACTGAAAAATAATATATAAAAAATATTATATATATATATATATATTTATATTTTATATTTATATATTAATTTAAAAAAAACAAACAATAGAACATCTGTACCACTTCAATCCATAAAGGATTTTGAATTCAATATTTTGTATTTTAAATAGAAAACAAATAAAATACTAATTACTCATCTCTAAAGTACTTAATTGCACTTTAACAATAATAATACTGATGTAGTCGTCGCTACGAAGAAAATGAAAAACTAGAAAGCGCCTGGTAGTGGTAGAGTTCAGAATTACTGGTTAAAAAATCTATCCTGCCTGTATGAAACACTTGCAATGAATTATAAAAAAATTATAACAGAGCAGGTAGACATTCCCAAGTAGACATTGTGAGGGCATTACTGTGCTGATTCCCAAAAAAGAAGGAGATCGATTGGAACCTCAAGACTTTCGGCCAATTACTTGCCTCAACGGTGTCTATTAGATTTTAACATCCATTCTCACAATTAAAATTGAATTTCACCTGCAAACCAATAATTTGATTCCAATCGAGCAGCTTGGTTGTAGATAAGGAGCTCAAGGGTGTAAAGAACTGCTGCTCATTGATTTGTTCATTGCTGGCCAAACAACCATGAATAAAAGAAATTTGTCAATAGCCTGGGTTGATTATAAAAAAACATTTGTCTCAGTTCCTCATAGTTGGCTTTTAAAAGTTCTGGATTTATATAAAATTCATTCATATATTAAAGAACTTCTGAGGAAATTGATGAACAATTGCAAAAAAAGACTGAGAATGGGAGATTAGCAATCACCAAAATAAATTACCATTTCAAGATGTATATACCAGGGAGATTGCCTCAACCCTCTTTGGTTTTTTCTTGCGATGGCTACTTTGTCAATTTTATTACATCGTGAAGAAAACGGTTACAAAGTCAAATTTAATGAATTAAGTGCAATGATCAGCCATAGCTTTTATGTGGAGGATTTAAAACTCTATGCAAAGAATAAATCTCAGCTGCAGTCTATGCTAAAGACAGTTACCCACTTCACCCAGTTTAGTGACTCTATACAGATGTCACTTGGGATTGAGAAATGTGCAGTTCTTCACATTATAAAAGGAAAACCAAATAATTTTGAAAACTTGTTTAGTGAAGAATATCATTAAGAATCTTCAGAAAGGAGATATGTATAAATATCTAGGGATAGAACAGCATTTAAAAATAGCTAGTAAAGATGTAAAATATAAATTGATAGTTTCATTTAAAAAAAGACTAAAGATTATCCTTAGAACCTACATTACTTCAGGATTAATGATAAAAGCTATTAATATGTGGGTTATTCCTTCCATATATTACAGCTTTGTAGTTCTAAAATGGTCCAAAACGTCACTGCAGGAATTGGATAGATTAATAAGGACAAGTATGACGGGTTCCAGAATGCATCACCCGACTGCATCTATGGCAAGGCCTTACCTATCAAGAAAGGAAGGTGGGATAGGTCTTACAAATATTGAAGAGTCATATTGAAGTCAAGAAAATAATCCAAATGCCATATTTAAACCATAGACCTTTTATGGTGAAATGAAGATGTGGCTAGAGGTTTTTTACTTGGGATCCTCAAAAAGTAATTTCTTTTAGAATAATAGATTGCTTTAAAGATATTCATTTGCAACTGATCTTATATGTATAACTTGCCGTATGTCCTATTCCAACTCACCATATCCATTTAGTAAAGATGGGGTAAAAAATCTGATAATGATTATGACAAATGTTACCATTTTGGCACCTTTCGAACAAATAAAATCTTCAAAGAAACAAGAGTATATAAATAAAAAATAAGAGGAAACAATGGTGTTTCACTGCTGCATCATCTGAAACAGTTTTTGGCTGAAGAAAATAAAATTTAAAAAATTATTTAGATTTTCAGGTGGATGATAACATGTAAATGATGATAAAGACAATGAATATCTAAACAATAGGTGGAAAATATTTTTATCATTAGAGGCCGCATTTAGGTTAAGCAGAGATACTAAATTTATTTAGATTTCACTTAATTTTCCAGTTGTGCCATTTAAAATAGACAAGATTCTGAGTGCCACTTTATGGCAAAATACCAGGAAAAACAAGAATTTTAAATATACATGTTTCTTTATTTTTGGGGTAGTTTTCAAAAAGTAGGGTAATTAGGAAACACTGACCTTTGAGTGAGTGCTTTAAGTTAACTTTTATTTTTCAGTAAATAAACAAATAAACGATAAGGAAAGAGTTGCAGCTGCTATGGAAAATAATTCACTTAAAGAAATGGTTGAAAAATGCATAGCAGACATTGATAATTGAGTGAAAAAAAAGATAAATTGCTTGTTATAAATATGCAACAGTGTTCATAAGGAAAGTGGAGGAGATGTTTACTTGTAGGTATTACTTTTTATTCTGTATATTTTTTATATTTATTTTAATAGAAAGTCTTATATTTATGGTCATTTCTTTTTATGAAAGAATTCAAAATTATTGTCAGAATTAATTTATATGCTCAAAAATAAATTTATAAATATAATATGGTTTATCTGTAGTCTATTGGGATTGGTAGTGCTGGAATATATGATAGCCAGATTAGTGAAGATATATGAAAAGCAAAACAAATAACGTGAAAACTTCATATTTACTATTTTCAACTATTACCTATAGAAAGTATTTACTATATTTTATTGAAACAAATAATGTTAATTTGTGGTGTAAAAGTCATTTTTATAATATAAAGAAAATATTTTTAAACAACATATTAATGTACTTTATGTAAATAGTAAAAGAGTGAAAGGTAATAGTGTAGATGTTTTTTTAATTTTTCCGAATCTGATTGATTAAAATTTTGTCCTATTATTTAGTACTATAATAAATTCATCAAGCAAGTCTAAAATAGTTTGATCTTAACGGTTTGACATCCATAACCATTTATATAATCATTTTGTAATTGTAAATAAAAAAAAAGAAATGCTAAACCACTGATATCATGTATATATTATTGTGTATACCATAAAAATAAAATTACTTTTATAAACTTAATTGACTTGTTGATTGTTTTATGATGGATAGAAAACAATTTGTATATATTCTCCTATCCACATATTCATATTTGAAACTAATCTTCTTCTTTTTAAATTTGATTAACTATACTGTTTTTGATCTTTTTTTTTTGTTTTTATAGATGGTTTAATTTTTTATGGTCTGAGCAGGCACAACTTGTTACTTCTAAAAATGTGTTTTTCCATGGGTTCATATTCCTGAAGTTAGCTTTTTGTAAAGAAGTTGAGTATTTGATCCTTAGCAATTAACTATAATAGTTTCATGTATATTATTTTTTAATGAAAGAGTTTTTTTTTTTTAATAGAAAACTGTAAGTAATAAGCAACATATTTGTCTAAAGGTGATAAAAAGCTATTAAGTTTGTTGTTTTATAGTGTTAATCCACTATAAAACCCAGTTTTATCATAAGTTCTGTTTTAGAAAAAGAACAAAAATTCAAACAGATTGAATTTTTGAAGTGAAATTTATTATTTCAGCATACTAAACAATAGTGTGTGCAGAACCAGTCATTTATTGGTGTATGCTGTACATGTGGAAAATTGTTGTCTTCTTTCACTTGAAAATAATTCTAAATAAACAAAATCAAATCTATAATTTCATAATTCATTACATGGTAGGAGGGCACCACCTGAGCTCAGTTTGATGCTTATTATTTTAAAATGAAGACTTTTTTTGAGAAAATTAAGTAATAAGCAACATATATTTTTAAAGGTGGTAAAAAGTTATCAAGTTTGGTTTTTTATGGTTAAGTTTTATAGTATATCCAGTTTTACCATAAGTTCTGTTGTAGAAAAAAGTAAAAAATTCAAACATTTTTCCTCAAGAAATATTTCAAATTACAATGGACAGACTAAAGTTGACCGTTTTGAATAATTGAATTTTCATTTGATTATTTATAAAGAAGACATCTTATGTAAGTAAATTTCACTGTCAAAATGAAATCTTTTTGATTTTTCCAACTTTTCCTTACAAAGAACTTATGACAGAACTAAGTTATTACATGGTTGTTTTTCATATGATGGTATCAGTAAATAATAATAAAAATTGTATATGTATCCGTATAATTAGACTTTTAATTTATAGGTTTCTGAAATTTGAGTGATTTCTTGTAGATATTTATAAAAATGTGATTTTCTTGTATATTATTATATTATATAATTTTATTAATTGCACATGCAGTTAATTGTTAAAGCAAATGAATCCATTATGTAATATTGTTATTGTTTGTCTTTAATTTCCTTTATTAGATGCTTGTTCAACTTTCCAGATATAACAAAAGTATGTTGTATAGAAATGATTGTTGAATATATGAGGATCTCGCTAAAAGGAAAAAAAACTTTTTGGCATAATAAAATGAAAGATATGAACACAAAACTTTATGTACAATGTTAGACAGTACCTTAATCTATTTTTCAAAGTAATAGCCATTGCTCTTGAGGCATTAATGGTAACATGTCACCAGTTTATTAATTGTGATGTTATACTCTATACTCTTCTACTACCAAAGACCTGAGATAGAATGTAACTGCCATTTCATCGTTTGTGAAATCTTTTCCACCTTAAGTTCTTTAGCTTCAGAAACAAGTGAAAATTGCTTAGTAACAGGTCAGGGTTACAAGAATGTTAATACATTTCACACTTAGTAAGTTAAAGTTCTTTCTTTGTTTTAGCAGCTGAATGAACCTGAGCATTTTCTTGAATTGAAAACATCTTTTCAGGAAACTTTCCATGTCTCTTGTTTGGATAGGACTTCATAGTTATTAAAGAGTTTATAGACTATTATTCAAATTCTAGTGTTTTGTAAGAAATCCATGTAACATTTACAGTAACAATGCAGTGTTACAATTGAGAAATTTATCACCATTGTTGTCTAACTGAGTTTAAAATATAAGGTCTGCCCCATCTGTTGAGTCTTGTGAACTTCTTTTGTACCCCAATTAAAATCTTAAGTATCTACTTAGCCACATTTTTTTGTATCCAAGTTATTCCACTATTACATGCAGAGATCTTGAACTTATTTGGAAAAATTCATTTAATGTGTCTAAAGCGAACCTTCCGTTTCCTTGAAAATCATCTTCACTTTTCTTTCAACTAATCTACGAGTTAGGGCATCCAACTCTAGTTTTAGTCACCACAATGGTTCTTTCTTGATTAAATATTTGTTCCAAAGATTTATTCATTGAGTTATCACAGTGTACATGTGTTATTTTTCTATAAATTTTGATTAGTTGAACTTTTGATTTGATGACTGGTACCAGCCACCATTTTAATACATTTTAGAACAGACCCCACAACAACACAGCTTTACACTGATATGGGGATGGGGTATGGATTTGACAAGCACTATTATGTATAAGAATATAGCTATATAAATAAAATATATTTAACAATATTTATTTTTTATTTTTAGTGGTAAACTTTTTTTTTCTAATATTTTATGAAACGACTAATTTTAATATTTTCATCTAAAAAGTTACAAACTGTTGATGTTCTTTCTCAAATTGATTATACAGAAAACTCACATTGATGATAACTGTTGCATATTTTCTTTGTAAATATTTAGCCATTGTAATATTTTACTTAGACTGAACCTATCTTGTAAAAATGTTTGCCAATTCGCTGACTGTGATTTATAAAGTAGAAGTCCTTTACTAAATTTATTATTATATTTATAATTATATTGTATTTAAAACATAAAATAAATTGTTTTTTTCTATGTAATCGCTTATTTCTACACTTATGTATGATAATCACAATCCTTAATCATATTCTTAATAATAGATAGCCTTTTAATAATTTGTGGACAATATCCCTAGCATTTATTGAAGTGATATTTTTACCTCAGTTATTTTATTTTTTTTTTTTGTAGTATGGAAATGAAAGAGCTACGTTAATTCTAACATTTTAATTTCAATTTGCCAAAGATTTTTTAAAATTAATAAATACAATCTCTTTACCAACTATATAAGGAAATTATGACCGGATCAAACAACTATTTGATTCACAGTTGTTGAATTTTAAACTAAACTAATTTTAACACAGGTATTTTTACTAAAATAATGTATTTTTAATTAGTTTAACTTTGAAACTATTTTATTGAGTAGTATAACATTCTGACACAATAAAGACAATACTTATAAAGAGAAAGGAGTTCATTCACATATTTACAGAAAAAAATACATAAATTAAATTAAATAAAAGTAAAATAATACCTAAATAATGTGTGTGTGTGTGTGTGTTTATATATATATATATATATATATATATATATATATATATATATATATATATATATATATATATACGTATAGACACACTCACACATATATACATATACATATATGTATATATACACACACATACATATATATTTATATACACACATTTATGTACATACATATATATATATATATATATATATTAAGCTTAAATTAAATAACATCTTAAACACAGACATACCTATATACATTATTTACAATCAGCCGAGAGAACACTGAACCAGCCTTGTCTCTCTATCTTTGGAGTGAAAAGCAAGACTTCAGATCAACAGGGCTGGAACTAGAATTTTTTTCAGGAGAGGAGGCAAGTCTAATTTTTCCACCCCTTCTCCCTCACAATAAAAGTCATATAAAACAGTTTTATTTAGATAATATATAGGGAGTCCCAGAAGGAAGTGTCAGAAATTACTCCCCCTTATTGAAAAGGGTTTTCCAAGAAAATAACATTTTTCTCATAACAATCCAAATTTCTGTACATTTTTCTGAGACTTATAACAGAACATTTTTCAACATTTGTCGCCATTTTGGAATTATGATGAATTATTTATAAGATAGCAACCAATTGTAGGAAATTTTGCCTTGCCAGTCCATCATAGCAGCCAAAGCGAAGTTTTCAAATAAATATACATAGTTCTCAGAAATAGCTTGTTGAATCTCAGGCAGTGAACGTTTGAGCTACAACCCTAGGGATTTCAAAAATGTTGCTTTGTTTAACCAATAAGAATTTCTTAATGGTACGAATTTTGTTGTTGTAGAAATTGGAACTAATAAAGATATGTGCAAAATACTGATGATGTTGGAGGCATAAACTTGAGCATTGTGCAGCTTTACTTTTCTATTTAAGTATGGTTGGGACTGTTGGTCAGATCCTCAGGCCCATCATACCATGACAAAAAAAACTCGGTATTCGTATTGTTAATACTTGTATCTAAGGTTTTTTGTTCTTTCAACTTCAATACCTCAAAATTAAATAATCTT